CCCCCCCTTTACAGATTAAGGGCACTGGGGGCCGGAGGAGGTTGAAAAACCTTCCCTGAGGGTCCACCAGGACAAAAAAGTGGACTGTCAGCTTCTAGGCCCAGACTCCCGCTTTGATTTCCTGCAGGGGAATCAAAGGCCAGGCTATCACTGGAGGGGCCTGGAGCATCCATGCAAGGGGTCAGCCTGAGGGGGATGAACTAAAGATGTTCTGTGGGGCGAGTGTCCCCAGGAGAAGGGGCCTGCACTGGGAGCCCCAGTAGGCCTTGGGGAGGAGCTGGTGTTTCCTTGGGGGAATGGTGGAGGGTTGGGTGGGAGGGCATTGTGATCTGAATGTACTTCACAAGTTGCCTTTAGCTGCCGTGTTGAGAATAGATTGGGGGGTGGGTGGGTGGGTGGGGCAGATTATCAGCAGGCAGGCCTGTGAGGAGGCTGACTTCCATGCCCTACAAGGACTATTGGGGTCTGGAGCATGGTGGTTGCCATGGTGATGGAGAGAAGTAGGTGGATGCCAAGAATGTATGAGAGGCAGAATCTACTATCTTGCTGCTGTGGGCTTTCTATAGGCACCAGGCTGGTCAGACACCCCAGAGGGGCTTGGAATGAGCCCCATGAAGGGTGTTTGGCTGTCTGCACCTGGGTGTGTCCTGCTGCAGGCATGAGTGAGCATTGGGTGAGGTCATGGCGGATGGCTTGGCCTGAGGGAGCCAGAGGCAGGGCTGCTGGCCTTGTGTTCTCAAAGGACAGGTGATTGCAGCAGCCACAGGTGGGACAGGTGATGGTGAAGGAGGAACACATCTCAGGATGCACCCTGGGAATGAGCATCAGGGAAGCCACCACCACACCAGGCACATGACAGGCCCCAGCTCTGCCCCATTCAGGCCCTACCCCCATCCAGGCTCACCCATGGGGGTCGGAAAGATGCGGTCCTGAGTGTGGAGAGGGGCCTGGAGGCCTAGCCTTGTAGGAAACCAGAGCCTGGAGCAGAGAAGGTCTCAGGAAACTTGTTGCTACCCCATGTTTCTAGAGGGTGCTCTGAGTGCCAGTGTGGCAAGTGGGTCTGGGCCCCGAGGACAGAGCCAGGACCCTCAGGGTAGCCATGGGAAGCCGACCCCAGCTCCCAGTAGGAAAGAGCTTTGTCAGTCTCAGCTGCCTATGTGAGCAGAAGCTGGCCACTGCCCCCTCCATCTGGCTGACCTTGTGAAGTGCCTTCCAGCTCTGAGATCCAAGGAGAGCCCAAGAGGGCGGAACCAACCTTTCTTGGAGGCTCAGGGGTCATTCCTTGAAAAACATCTTCACTAGGAGGGAGTTGAGTCCCACATCCTCCAATTATGCTCCCATCCAGCCAGCCCACAATGGGTCGCTCAGATAACCATCGGGGGTTGCACAAATTAACACTGGAACAATGCTGGCTGCTCAGGCTATTTTTACAGTAGCCATACGCCCGGCTGAACCCCCGCGTCGCCCCGAGGGAGCAGGGCAAAGAAAGGCCATGCGGATGCCGCCACCAGTCTGTGCTCTGGGAGACAGAGGAAGGGCTCAGCGAGCCGCCCGGCGGCTCCAGGAAGCCTTTTCTTGGTCTGCTCACCACCAGATAGCAAAACAATTGGGGTCCCCCACCCCGAGCCAGGGAGAGGAAGGAGGTGTGGGGGAAACAGGGGTTCTGTTATGCTTTTGTGCCTCTGCTCCTCAGAGCACGGCCCCTGTGGGCCTAGCTTCTGGTGCCAGGCCAACACGTCCCCTCTACACACCCAGGTCCTCGGGCAGCCCCGCCTCCACCTTGCTCTGCCTTGGATGGCTTTCTGGGCCAAGCAGCATGGAATGCAAGGCTCTGAGGCCCAGTGACTTGCCGAGACCAGTGCTTGGGAAGTGGCCGAGCTGGGGTTCACACTTAGCACCAACTGCTTGCAGATCCCACTCTGGGGACCATCTACCCCACGGTCCTTGCTTGACGACCGGCTCTGGGCAGATGGGTCCTTGTCCCTATGGAGGCACAACTCTAGTTGAGGAGGAGGCAGTTAACAAGGAAGCAAGGATGTGAATCAAGACATTTTCAGGTAGTGCCAAGCAGTTTGACAAGACAGACGGAGATGCCCACTGAAGATGTCCTGTGAGCTTGGTGAGCTGGCCCAGGGGTGCCCATGGGAGGGGCCACACCTGGTCCTGCTGATGGTTGCCAAAAGGAGTGTGAGCTAAACATGGTCCGAGCTTCCAGTTTTTCACGAGAACCTAGAAATCTTGACTTTTCTCTGAAATCTGATGTTTTCAGTGTTGGCCACCAATTTGGATCATGAAGACAAGTTGTGGCCCAGGCTGCTTGGCTCTGAGCCGGTCTGCAGGTGGAGAAACAGGCTCAGAGAGGGGTGGGCAGGTCCACTGGTGCTAGTCCTCCAGTGCATGTCTTCTGTGGTGCTCCCCCACAGAGGGGTAAACCCTTGAAGGCACCCTCTCTCCCCAGGCTGGGACTCATGATACTCTTGCCCTCAAGGCTGAGCTACCAGGGAGAGTGAGAACTCCAGACCCTGGCTGGGGTCAGATGTCCTCTAGAATGGGGTCCTGGCAGGGGGTGGGCTGAGAGTGACCACAAACAGCTCCTGGAGGCTTAGGGATTTGACCTCCTTTGGGGCCTTGCATTGCCAAACCCATCAGGAGTCAGAGGACAGGGGACCTGGATGACACAGGGGTCGGGGCAAGCCAGAGAACGGATGGAGAGCGGTGAGCCAGGGAGATTAACTGGCTTTCTTACATAATCCTCACCAGGGCAAATCCCTGCTTTTTTATGCTGTAGGGATGTGGCTGGTTAATTGCAAATATCTTTCATAAACATCCATTCTCCATACTTTGATGGAAACCCCATTTTCAAATATTGTTTCCATTCCAGGCTGAAACCCCATTCCTCATTCATTCGGTGTTTATCCATTCCTTAAACAGTTAGGCGCAGGCCTCTCCCGTGCGCCAGGCACCGTGCTGGCTCATGAGTGAAATGGAAGCCGTCGTTTCCTACGCAAATCCGAAATTGAGAAATAGTATCCATTTCTAGAAAATTCAGGCAGGTGTTATTTGGCGGTGCCTTAGAGGTGCCTGGGTGTGTCATATTTGGAAGAGGTGATGCCAGGCCAGGGGTGGCTTGGTGCTTATCTGCCTGCAGGTGCAGGATGAGGTGTGACATTCAAGGACAGCAAGCATGGGTCCCCAATGCTTCTCTCAGCAGTTGCTCAAGAGAAGGCATCTGTCAGTTTCTGAATCATTAGGTCCCTGCTTGCCTAGAGGGGGTCTGACTCGCTCGGGACATTGTCAGATCAGTGGACAGTCAAGGGGATGGCAGGCGCCCTGCCACAGGTCTGGGCAGGTCAGAGCCAGCCCGTGGGTGAGAAGGGAGAGGTCGTGTTGAAGACACACAGGCTATTTACCAACCGCACATGGGGTTCTGTTTTGTCCCCACAGAAAGCGAGGAGGAGATGGCCACCAAGGAGAAGCTGCAGTGTCTGAAAGACTTTCACAAGGACATCCTGAAGCCGTCCCCCGGGAAGAGCCCGGGCACGCGGCCCGAGGACGAGGCTGAGGGGAAGCCCCCGCAGAGGGAGAAGTGGTCCAGCAAGATCGACTTTGTGCTCTCCGTGGCTGGTGGCTTCGTCGGTTTGGGCAACGTCTGGCGTTTTCCGTACCTCTGCTACAAAAATGGTGGAGGTGAGTCTAGGCTGGGCAGAGAGAAGGGGGTGGCCTCTTGTGACCTGCTCTCCCTGGTCCCCACCGTGACCTCCCTCAGTCAGCCTGCTGCACCCTCGCCCAGCCCCTCCCCACCTCAGAGGCAGGAGAGGAGCAAGCCTGGGAATCAGCTGGTGTTCTGTCGGGGTCTTACTGTGCTACCTTGAGAAGACCCCTTACCGCTGCGATCCTTCAGTTTGCCATCTCTGAAGAGGAGTGATGAGGCCATGCCCCTGTCCCCAAACCTCCGACACTCACATGCTCCCTTCATAAATTCCCTCTTATCTTCATGCCTCCCACCTCCTTACATTATATCTTTTCTAATATTTACTTTGGCTTTTCTAACTTAAACCAAACATAGTTCAAAAGCAAGCTTCGTTTCCCCCATAAATGGAAAACCAGTATCATTTGCCATAATGGAAAGGTATCCAGGAAAAAAAAAATACAGTGAAGATATTTTTTATTTTTATTTTTTAATTCAAAAGTTTTTTTCCAGTTTTATTGAGATATAATTGACGCATAACCTTGTAATAGTTTCAGTTGTAAACATAATGATTTGATGTATGTATATATTGCTAAATGATCACAATAAGTTTAGTTAGCATATGTCACCTCAGTTATACATTTTTTTCTTGTCATGAGAACTTTGAAAATTCCTCTCTTAGCAACTTTCAAGTTTAGCCCAGTATTATTAACTGTAGTCACCATGCTGTGCATTCCACCCCCCCTGAACTTATTTATCTTATACTGGGTACTTGTACCTTTTTAACACCTTTACTCATTGAAGATATTTTTTAAATGTAAGGTCTCTGGTTGGTTCCAGTTTTACGTTTTGGGGCTTTTTTGTTTGTTTTTTATAATCCTCACTTGAGGATATTTTTTTTCCCATTGATTTTTTAGAGAGAGTGGAAGGGAGGGAAAGAGACAGAGAGAGAAACATTGATGTGAGAGAGACACATCAATTGGTTGCCTCCAGCATGTGCCCTGACCAGGGCCGGGGATCGAGCCTGCAATCGAGGTATGTGCCCTCGACCAGAATCGAACCTGTGACCCTTCAGTCTGTGGGCCGATGTTCTAACCACTGAGAAAAACCGGCTAGGGCTGGTTTGGGGGTTTTGTTTTTTAAACCTGAAGGCTCTGAGCTAGAGTCCTCTCCTGTCGGAGTGTCCAGGTCGGCAGCACGTGCTGACAATCTGGGGGCTTTCTGGCTGTGCAGTAAGAGCGGCCTGATGAGAACTGGGTAGGGAGAACTGCCCGTAATTGAAGGCTTACCTGTCAGCAGAGATGAGCGTGCTGCCTACAGCCTGCGTTAGGAGAACTACCTTCCGGTAAATTCTGCCTTAGAGTCTGGTTTCTTAACCTTTTGTAGGTCTCAGGCGCCTTTGGGACTCTGATGAGTGTCCTAGACGCTCCCCAGAGCAAAGCGCATACACATAGACCCAAGTTGCCCACAGTTTCAAAGGGTTTATGGACCCGCTGAAGCCCTTAGTGGACACCAGGTAGGAACCCTCGCCCCGACTCCTTGCCCCTCACTCCTGCCCTGGCTCCCACCCCAGCTGGAGGTACCCACCTCTTGCTTCTCATCACTGTACCCTTCTTAGCTAGTCTGTCTCAGCTTCCTGCCCTGGGTAGGCCTGGGAACAGGCAGGTGAAGGCTTCAACAAGGAGGTCCTATTTGAGATGGGTCCTAAGGGCTGAGCAGTGCTTATTCAGATGGAGGATGTGGGGAAGGCAGGCGGCAGTCGGCACAGCTTAACTGGAGGCCCCGAGGCTGAAAGCACCTGGTAGATTTGAAGAAGGTGAGAGGGCACACTGGAAAGGTGATGCCTGCTGGGCAGGATCTGCAGAATTTTCAACCACGCCCAAGGGTTTGGCCTGTACCCTCACGCCCCTCACTTGTTCTCTCTGGTTCCATTGGCTGGGAGGGCTTTGGAGCGAGCACCTGCAGCCTTGCCCCTGTGACAGCCCCGTCTGACCCTCACCCCACTCTGCTCTCTCCACAGGTGCATTTCTCATACCGTATTTTATTTTCCTGTTTGGGGGCGGCCTGCCTGTGTTTTTCCTGGAGGTAATCATAGGCCAGTACACCTCTGAAGGGGGCATCACCTGCTGGGAAAAGATCTGCCCCTTGTTCTCTGGTGAGTATGGGACAGTGGTCACCCGGGGCCTGGTGTTCATCGGTTCAGCAAATTTATTATTGAGCACCTGCTGTTTGCCAGGTACATCGGAGCCTCATGCAAGTCACTTGGCGCTGTGCCTAACACAGGGTAGCAGCCAGTACATGATACGGGCGATGCTGCTCACAGTGACTGCTCAATACGTACTGGCTGTTCCCACCTCTCTGGGTTGTTGAAGGCTAGAGAAGCTAGTGGCTGCTTAGCAGTCCAGTGCAGAAGATAAGCACTCGGATTCAGGGGCCTTGCTGTCTGGGTTCGAGTCCCTCCTCCTCTTGCTAACTCTTGTGACTTTGGGAAAGTTCATTCATCGTTTTGTGTCTCAATTTCTTCATCTACAAAATGGAAACGATATGCCTTCTTCATAGGGTTACTGCTACTAATAGTCACATAAAAATGCTTTGTCCACATAGTAAGCCCCAAATTAATGGTAGCTTTATTATTATAACATTGAGTCCTTTGTCTAGTACCTAGTATGCATTCATAAGATAACACTGTTACGATTATAATTGGCAAAGATGGGAGGATGTATGTCAACGTAGTCATCCATATAAATCTATCCATATATGATCCATCAAACCTTTCTTCATTAACTAGTCAATTTAGTTAGATTATCCATCCACTTGTCTACCCATCACCTATCTACCCATCTACTCATTCATCTATCTACTCATCTACCTAACCTTCCAGCCAGTCCCCAGCCATGCATCCATCCAACAAATCAAATTTCCATCCATCAATCCAGCATCTCCCCATTCGGCTCTCTATCGGTCCATTTAACCACCCATCTAACGATTGATCCATCTAACCATCCATTCGTTGGCCTATCCACCTGCATGCATTCTTCAATTCGTCCAAGGATCCCATTTATCTAACCAGCCCACAAATATTTGCTGGTCACTGTTGAAGGCCGCCTGGGAGTGCCAAGGCCTTCCATTTGAGTGTGTGGACACAGGGGTCTGGCCTTCCTGCTGATGCTTATCCTGCTTGTCCACACCCACAGGCATCGGCTACGCCTCCATTGTGATCGTGTCCCTCCTGAATGTATACTACATCGTCATCTTGGCCTGGGCCACCTACTACCTGTTCCAGTCCTTCCAGTCGGAGCTGCCCTGGGCGCACTGCAACCATACCTGGAACACCCCCTACTGCATGGAGGACACGATGCGCAAGAACAAGAGCCTGTGGATCACTCTCAACACCAGCAACTTCACCTCCCCTGTCACCGAGTTCTGGGAGTAAGGCCAGCTTCACTAAGGAAGGGGGGAGGGCCTGGGTGGGGGCAGAGAAGACAGCCCACTCCCTCATCTTCTCCCCCGCGATGTGGGAGTCAGTGTCTTGGGATGGGATCGGGGAGAAGTTGGGTACAGATTTGGACATAAATCCATGCCTTTGGCCTCAGACAGGCCTGGAAGCGAGTCCCGGTTCTGCCATTTTACTGGCTGTCTGACCTTCAGCAAGGCTCTGCCTCTTTCTGAGCCTCAGTTTCTTTAACTGTCAAATGAGGGGAATGAATCCTTCCAACACCCATGGGATCTCTGTGAGGAATTTTTTCCCCAAAGGCAGGTATTTGTACTTATATTGCCTGAAAATAATAGTTTTCTTAATGTATTTTAGAAGAAACATAGTTAGCATATCAAAACTATTATTGCACAGAGAAAAATTCATATATGAAGCTGAAGTAGTAGTTAGTCAAGTTAAAAGGTGAGTAGAGAGAATAAAAATTATGTGTTAGTTCGTTTTTGCTGTGTAACAATCATCCCCAATGCAGTGGCTTTAAGCCACAACCATTTATTTGGCTCAAGGTTTTGCTGATTAGCAGTTTGGGCTGAGCTTGGCTGGGAGGTTTTTCTGGTCTTTGCTGGGCTCCCTCATGGGTAGATCAGCATCAGGGTAGCTCTTCTGGGCATTGGCTGCCAGGGTCCATATGGTCTCAACCCCCAGCAGGCTACCCTGAGCGTCGTCAGAGGCCGCTCTTCATTCCAAAGCAGCCAGTGGGAAAGTTGCATCGCAGGAGCACTCTTTAAGCCTCTGCTTGTATCATTTTTGTTAATGTCCCATTGGCCAAAGAAAGCCACAGAGTCAAGCAAGAAGTGGAGAAATAGGTTCTGCCTCTTTATGAGGAGTGGAGAATTATGGGCACGCCTCCAGTTTACCACACGGTTGTCAATAAGAGAACACACATAGGACACACATCAGAAAGGCAGAATGTGAAGGGGCTTGACGTTTGGGTACCTCTTAGCTGATATATAGGAAAGTTCTTCTAAGACATTCCTTGGAGGCCAATTAAAAATATATTCGTGCATCGCTCTTCACCAGCAATTAAATGTGGGGCTCAGCACTTGGGTGCGGCCCCCCTCTATCTGGAAATAGCTGAGATAAGGCCTTGCAGGAAGCGTGAGAGCCAGGAGCAGGGAATGCCGTTAAGGAAGCAGGTGGACCCTAATCATCACGAGATGATACTCCCTCTCTTTTGTGTGTGGCTGCCCACCTCTTAGAACCTGGCCCAGGAACAGAAGAGGGAGTTGCCTGCTGCTTGGTCCCGGGCATACTTTGGAGCCGGGGCTGGGAAATAATAGGCAAGGTTAGTCAGTCCTTCCTCGGGTGGTGCACGTCCCTGTCATGACACGTGGGCCTTTCAGTATATGCCCCCGTCCCTGGGGCTCTTTATGCGCACATATTTTCCACTTGCAGACAAAGAGGGCATTACAAGCACATTCATCACCCCCTCGGCTCCCACCCCCGGGAGAGCTGAGTTTACAAAGAAACGCTGCACTTCATTCTTCTCACTTGAATGGGGCCCGAGACCACAGCCCTGTCCGCTCTCTGCAGGGCCTGCCCCACCCAGGACGTGGCACTCAACCAGCCACTTGGGCGCCTGCTGGGACCTCATTGCCTCAGGCACGGATCGGCTGCCCGGGCTCCAACCCCAGCTCTGCCGCTTCTAGCCTGGCCAGGCACCTTGGCCTCTCTGGACCTTCATGTTCTCACCTGTGCCTGGAGAGATTATAGCACTGCCCTCCTAGGGATGGCGGTTCGCCCTAACTTGAGACCATGACAACATGCATGATAAATATGGGCCATTGTCATTTATTTTGTGTCCTCATAGGGGATAGAACTGCTCCTTGGGGGCATTTGGAACTCTAAGTGAGACAGCCTTCAGAAGGACTAAGAATGGCCCCTCTCAAATGCCCGTATTGTCCTCCATATTGCAAAGGGGTTCCTCTTTGCTCACCTCCCTGCCGCTATGAACCTGAGGGTTCTTGCGAAGATGCTCACGTGGGCGATGCCTTCTCCCCTGCCTGCCCCCCAGACTGGGCCCTCGCAGGGGTTTCTAGGTCTCTTGCCTCCCAGAGTCTCCATTCTGAGTGCCCCAGCTCCCCTTCCTGACAGTGTTCATCTATGCAAATGTCCTGGTCCCGCAGGCACCTTCCCACGCCCCACAGGACATGCTCAGTCCAGACCATTCTGGCCACCTGCCTGATGCCCCCTTCCCACTCCAGCCTTCGCACCCGCTCCTCCTGGTTCCAGCAGAGCACTGTAAGCCCCCCTGCGCATCCATAAACAACGTGCCCTCTTTCTAGAACACAGGAGGACTGGAGTCCACAGAGGAGGAGCCTAGAAAGCAGGTTTAGGCGTGAGGACCCAGCCTGCTCCTGTGTGAACAGAGGCCGAGGCCAGCGAGCGGGGCCGGGGGCTCCATCAGTGCCGCCCTGAGTCAGGCACAGTGGATGAGAAGGGCCTGCCTGCCTGCCTTCAAGAACCTTCCATTCTCTTGGTCGTGAAAGAGGGGAGAGAGCACTAATGTGGAATGATTGACTCCCATGAGCATCGTGCCAGGGACTTGCCCCCACCTTTCATTTCATCTTTGCAGAGGCCCTCTAAATGGGGTAATTCGCAAACCGCTTTCTGCCTCAAATCCCACATTAACTCGCAGGTCCTCTTGGATCTCCCGTGAAAGTACATTCAGAGCCTGACCACCCTCCCCACTTACACTGCAGCCCTCCTCCCTCCCCCATGATCGCTCTCTCCAACCCCAGCACTGGCCTCTCACTGCGGTCCCTGCCTTGCCCTTGCAATCTCTGCAGTCAGTTGTGAATCTAGACATGTCATTTCTCAGCTCAGAGTCCTCTCATGGCCTTTCCCACATGGTGCTCTCCCCCAGCCAGAGAGGGTTTTAAGTGTTTCAACACAGCAAGTGCTCACTGAGGGCTGGTTCTTACTAATTGCACATCTGCATCCACTTGATTGTAGCCTGGGGCAGCACCTCTCTACCCCTCTCTGGCCTCATTTCCCATCTGCAAATGGCTATCCTAGCTGGGCTTTGAGGGATGGGTAGAAGCTCACTAGGCTGAAAAGGAGAAAAGACATTTGGGCAGAAGGAAAGCACGTGGCTGTTTTGGGAACAGCAAGTCATTGGTTGGGCCAGAGCATAGGACGCATGGAGCCAGGGAGAAGGATTGAAGCCTTGAATGTTAGACTAAGTTTGAATCTGTTTTCTGGATGTTGCTTAAGCAACACACTATGGGGAGAAAAGCTGAGACGTGTATTAAGCACTGACTGTATACAGGGTCTCAGGGGGCTTTGGGGTGAAATTTAGCACGTGTGATTTCCCCTGAAAATAGCCACCAGCTCCATAGTGACTAGCCTCGGGGTTTTCGTTGAGAAAGGCTTGCTGGGCTTTATTGAGGTGTCACTGGCTGGTACCGCTGTTGGGCTGCAGAGCAGTGAGGCTCTTTCTCGGAGGCTGGAGTCCATGATCCTTGAGGTGAAGCCCAATCCCAGCCATTGTTTCCCTTCACTCCTCTGACCAGCCCCAGCCGCGTGGGTCCCTGAGCTGTCTGTTCCTTGGGCAAACGATTCCTGCCGGGTGCTCAGGAGCTCCCCGGGAATCCAGATAACAAGGCACCGTGGGACCTGATACTTCCTCCGGGCCCTGGACAGAGGGACCCTGTCGATCATCCCTGCCCCCTCCAGTGTTACTAGAGGAGAGAGGAGAGAGCAGTGGGGAGACGGACTGCGACTCCCACATGTCCCAGCTGCGTGTCCTCGGGGCAGTCACCTGTCCAAACCTCAGCGTTAACGTGGTCCGAGACCTCACAGCCGGACTGGAGTGTTAAAGAAGCTAAGACAGAGCTCTGGGCATGGTTTCTTAGATAGGACACTGAGGACCAGGGAGGCCGAGCAACTGGCCAAAGGCGACTCGCAGCTAGAGTTCCCAGCTCTGACCTCAGACGCTGGATGCCACCTCCAGTGTCTGTGCGTCCATCAGCTGTAAGTCCACAGTCACAGGTAACACCGAGCCGGGTGTGTGTGTGTCCCCACTCTGAGGTTATGCATGGGGTCTTCTCTTGGCCCGGATCCCCCATGCCTACCCCATCTGCAATGCTACAGCGCCATGCTCAGCAGGAGCCAGTGGGATGCCCTTTACCAGGTCCCTGTGCAAGCCACCTGGGCCCCCGAGACAGTCATTACCCCTGGCTTTGTAATTGAACTCCGAGTCCCTGTGTGCTGGGGGAGCAGAGCTTCTTCCGCCCGTCAGCTTCATCCTGCTCACCCCTGCTCTGGGCTCACCTCTGTCCTCAGGGTCCTGCTTCCCCCCAGCCCTGGAAGACAGGCGGGGCCAGGTCTAGCCAAATGCCCTTCATCAGGCTGGAGCCATGCCTTCCTCCCCGAGTCCTCTGGGAGCTCAGCACGTATCATTAGACTTTATTAGAATCAAAGAAATGAGTCATATTGGCAAACAAGCCCTGCTCAGCCAATCTTCCCCTGCAGCTGTGAGGAGGGGGAGGCGGGGGAGCAAGCCTTGTGTGGCCCCATGCTTAGGGCGGACGGGCTCTTTTATAATTGTTGCTTCCATCAGTCTCCAGGGAAGAGCCATCGCCAATAAATGGCTGGCCGGCAGTCAAAAGGAAACGATTTGGCCCACTCGGAGGACGTATTTACATCTCTGAGTGCCGGCTGGACGGCAGCAGGCTGGCCGACTCAAAACAGACGTCCAGGCAATTCTTTTTTGGATCCCACCCTGGAATGAATCATTACTATTCTTGGACAAGAATGCAGCTCACCTCTGTATCTCCTCCCTTTGTATGAGAGATGCAGGGAAGTCTGGGGTGCTGGGGACCCTCGTGAAGGGCAGTGTAGGACCTAGCACACTGGTGGCTGGTCCCCAGGGTGGCATCAGGGGAAAAAAAAATAGGCCCAGGATTGATTCTTATCTGGGTAATTTCAGGTGAATTCCTGGATCTCTCTGAGCCTCAGTTTCTGCATCAATTAAATGGAAATAATTAATTTACTCAACTAATGTCTTGAGCACCTACTATGTGCCAGGCACTATTCTGGATCCAGCAGTGATCAAGACAGACAGAAACAGGCCCTGCCTCCGTGGAGATGTCATTTTAGTAGGACAGACAGACATTAAACAGATACCACAAATCAAATTATAATAGAAACGCGATGATAAATGATGGAAAATAAAGCCAGGGCAGGGGAAGGAGAGTGACCAGGGATGTTTTTTACATAAGATGACCAGGAAAGACTGCCCTGGCATTTAAACAGAGACCTGAAGGGGGTGGGGCGAGGGAACAGCCAGTTCAAAGATCCTGAGACAAGAGCATGCTCCACCTATCCTGGGAACATTCCAGAGGCCAGTGTGGCTAAAGGAGGAAGTGAAGGGGCCGTATGGGGATGAGGTTCGAGATGGGACACCCACAGCTTGTCCTGGATGTGTCCCCTTTACACCGTGGTCCCGGTATCATCAGTAGTCACCACCCTCCTTTTTTAAGGTGTCTGGGTCTAGATGATAGAGTATTTGGTCACATTCGGGGAGGCAAACAGGACTAGGGCAGGTTGGGAGGGTGTTATTGGGCAGGTGGGTAGGAGCCCTGGAGGATGTAGAGCAGGTATTGCCAGATCGATGAGAACAAACTGGGGACTGAGAGTGGAGGCAGAAGGACTGCCTGGTAGCTGTCGGGGGGAGCGGGGGGAGAGGCAGTGTTGGGGAGATGTGGCAAGATTTGGGGTAACCTGTACAGTCTGGCGTGGTCAGGGGACACCTGTGAGGGGCAGTGCACCATGGCAGTCCCTCTGGGGCATGGCACTGCCCGCAGCACGGGGAAGGCCCAGCAGATCCTGGTCTGCGTTGTGGCTGAGGCCATGGGGGTCTGACAGGGAAGGGACTTGTGGAGGATCCTTTAAACTGGATTCTCTCAGAAAGGGATTCAGATAGACCCACTCACGTTCCGGCCTCCACGGCTACCCTTGAGGTATCCTTGGACAGGATGTCAGTCACTTTGGCCCAAGCCCATGTCGGGCTCTGCTATGACAGCCTCTGATTGATGAGACATATTTATTCCATTCCTAGAATGTCTGCACAGCCCATTACAAACATTTTCTAGAGTTTAATAATTTGTATAAAGGTGAAATGTGCACATTAAAAACATTCCGACAATGAAAAAATATATCTGATGCCACGCGAGTCCCCTTCCCCCGCATCCCCACCACCAGGACCCCTCCCCACCGGCAGCGACACAACCAGCGTCTGGTATGTCCTGGCAAAAGTGCGTGTTCAAGCACAAGGCGCTTTGGACCCCATGGGGAGCAGGCCATACGCTGTTCCTCACCTTGCTTTGTTCACTGTTTATCTCAGGAGGGAGCTCCTCGCCAGGGCCCAGTAGCTTCCCGCTGCCCCCTGGGCTGCACAGCATTCCAGTGGCTTCGTGCCTGCTCTGACCCTATTGTGGCCATTTGGGTGGTTTCCAATTTTGTTTATCTTCATAAACAGTGCTGTGGGGTGGGCCTGCCTTTGGACACACATGCAAGTAAAACTGTACAGAGAGAGACTCTTGGGAACGGAATGGCTGGGTCCGAGAAAACATGCCTTAGGCTGTCACTGGAGGCAACGAGATCCTGCAAGGAGATGGCCACCAGGAAGGGTAAAAGCAAGTTATGACTCGGCTTCGTGGTTGTGGCCTGCCTAGCCGGTCATTGCCCAGAGCAAGCCAATGTGGGAGCCCCTCCTTCGTGGGGGGCGCCTCTGGTTTTCCCGGACGGTGGTGGGAGGAGACAGGAAGGTGTCAGTAAACTGGCTGTGGGCTTGGTCAGCATCCCGGCTCCCAGGTTTCAAGCTTCTTGGCCAACTTGCCCTTAAGGAGAGAAGAAAAAGCCGTCTTATGACTGGGCACCTCCTCAGCATTAGCTGAGCACCTACTGTGTGCCTGTCTGTGAGGTTCTTGTCTTAGGGATGTCTAGAATCTGATAGTCAAGCCAGACTTGTCACTCAGGGTGACATCCAGTGTGAGAGGACAGCCAGGGACCCGCCTAGTCATCTGTGGAGCACAGGGAAGGCTTCTCTGGGAACAGGCGACGGTGTGCTTGGCATTGGAGAGGGAGCCACGGTGTGGAGATGGAAAAGTGCTCTCCCCGCCGCTGCCCATTCACAAGGAAGTCTTGGGCCACTGCCCAGCATGCCCTGGGCCTTCATTGAAGGACCGAGCTCTGGAGGCTGCCCGGGGAATGGCTTTTTGTTCTAAAGCTGCTGCGGCCGCCAGATCCACGTGCTTGGCAGGGCCCCAGCTGGGATGCAGTTGGCCGCCAGCCCTGCCTTATGGAGATGTCCATGTTCCAGGTGACCCTGGCCAGTAGCAGGGACTGGGCAGATTCTTTTGAAAGTTTAGGCTCTATTTTCTCTGTGAATCAGAGGGACAGTTAGGTGGAGTCCAGAGGACACTGGCTTTGGGAGTCAGACGAGCCTGGATATGGGGTGGCAGTTCTGCCCCCTGTTGGCTGTGTGTCTGTGGGCAGTGGGGTCCTCCAAGCCTTGCTTTCCCATCTGTAAAGGGGGGCAGATGACCTCTAGGCCCTGGGTCAGATGAGATAAGTAGGAAAGGCCTTGCTGGTATAACCACTGGGAGGTCCACTGATGTCGAGGTGACCAGCAAGGAACACACAGAGGAAAGCTGCCCCTTCTTAAGACTTGTTCGTGGAAATACTCCGTGGATTAGTCCAGAGTGACATGCAAACTTCCCATTCACCGCAGTTAAGTCCTTCCATTCATTCCATACGTGTTTATTGAGGCCCTCGTATATGCCACATGCTGTTCTAGATGCTGGGGGCACAGCACAGAAAGGTCTGGCTTGGATGTTAGCTGAGCGGGAATTTTAGATTTATTCAAGGTCCTCATGTTGGAGCTTCTGTGGGGACATAAAAGGAGCAATGAAACTGTCCCAGAGCCATGGCCATGGGGCCATCCCACAACTGGCTGAGGCTGGGGGTGGTCTGGAAGGCTTTCCCAGCGGCATCCTGGGCAGGTGCCATTCATGTTTTACAAATGAGGAAAGGGAGGCACGAAGTCACACTCCTCTCTCTGCCTCGCCTGCTTAAGAGTGGCCTTCAGATAGGGAGCTGACTTTCATTAGAAGGAACCCAGCATCTCCCAGGGGGGAGTGAGGGCTCTGTCTCGCAGGCTCCGTGGCCTGGAGATTTGGTGGGCAGGTGACTCCAGTGGGCTGGTGGGCAGGGCCCATGTCCCTTTGCTCAGCGTGGCTGCCCTTGGTCAGTACTGCAGCAGTCAGAGCTCTGGGACAATGGGGACATTTCTGGGCATTAAGTTGAATGGTCTTCTCTGCCATCAGCACCCTGTGCTGCCCTGCCCTGGCTTCAGGTGGCACCTGCCCCTTAGGAGTGTGTCAGTGAGTAGTTGCTTGTGTGCGTCAGCGAGGTTCTTGGGTTGCAAAGATCCAGGCTGTGCTGTGTGCTGCTGGGCAGGGCAGGTGGCTGCCCCGTGCTGATTGTCCTCCAAATGGTCTGCCAGCCTCCTTTCGAGACCTTCGCCCCCTGGAAGGGAAGGGGGAACCTGCTTAGGTGCCAGGAGCTGCTCTGGGCCTCTCAGCATCACGACAGCAACAGCTCAGGTTTCTCGAGGGCTGGCTGCAACCCTGGCCCTGTAGTTAGCACTTCGTGTGGGCTTCTCCTAACAACAATCCATGCAAGGCGGTGGGTAGGTGTTCCGCAGCCACCGGTGGAATACTCTGTCCCCCTGAGGCTTACATTTTAGTGAAAGATCCAGATAAGAAACGAGCGAATAAAATAAAAGAGGCATGGGGCAGCTGCTGGGGGATGGTAGCTGCTCCCATTTTATAGATGAGACTGAGGTCTGGGAGGTTGGGTAATGAGCCCAAAGTCAGTGATTATACGGTGGAGCTGGGGGTTTTAACCCAGAGCAGAAGGGTCTGCTGAGAACCAGTCACATAGGAATCAGTACCCATTTTACAGATGAGGAAACTGAGGCTTAGGGGTTTGCTTAACTTGCCCGCGGTCAGGCTGGGTTGAACCCAGGTTCACCTGACTTCGGGATCTGAGTTCATCTCCTGGTTGACTTCCCCACAATTCTGTGACGAGGGTGTTAACTATTTCCCGGGGATTCCAGGGCCTGGAGAGGACGTGACCTGTGCAAATCAGCACATGATCTAGGATTTGAACCCCAGACCTTGGCCCGACTGACTTGCGGTTCTGTTTGCTTCAAGGCGCAACGTGCTGAGCTTGTCTTCTGGAATCAACAGCCCCGGCTCACTGAAGTGGGACCTTGCTCTCTGCCTTCTTTTCGTGTGGTTGGTCTGTTTCTTCTGCATCTGGAAAGGCGTCAAGTCCACGGGGAAAGTGAGTTGTGCTCCTGTCCCTCCTTCTCTCCCTCCCCTGCCTCATGGAGAGCGGCCCTCGCCAGAGAGCACCTCCCGCCCCACAGTCCTTCCTGCCCGAAACTGGCCCTGACCTGGGAGGGGGTGCGGGCTGATAAACCAGTCCTCGAAAAACAAGTAAAGCCCTGGTTTGTAGCCTTCCCTCATCTGACGGTATAAAGACTCCCCCATGTCTGCTTTCAAGTTATTGATGGTTTAACATCCAGCTCGTGAAATTCCTGCAAATTGAACCATCAGTACAGCCACCTGCACAAGCTCCAACACACCGCTGGTTCCCCCAGTAGAGCAGATGTTAGCGGATAACTGATGTTGAGGTTGTAACTGATAAGTTAGCTGGTAATGAGGTTCTCTGCAGCTCTGTTGTTAATAACCAGTTCTTAATGGACCCTTACTTTGCAAAGTCCCCTGACCAGCACATCAGCACCGTCCCCCCCACCCCCTCCGCCAGGAGCTCGTTAGATATGCAGACCCTGTGGGCCTGCCCTGGGCCTACACACTCAGAACCTGCACTGGAGCAGTAGCCGACATAATCCAAATGCAATTGAGGGTCGATAAGCACTGATTTTTGCTGCTTAGTCAAATTAACTGAATTACCTTTCCAAGAACATTTTAGATGGTAACTTAAGATGTTCCTTAAGGAATGCTTTCACTGATGATTAAGATGGTTGTTGTTTATCAGAACATTAGCTGTAACTGAGCTGCTGCTGATTAATACGTTACATGATGACTAGGATGTTAGCTATTAACAAAGGCGGGGGTGGGTAATTAAAACAGTAGCTTATCATTAAGATTTTAGGTATACACAGATATATCTTGGCAATAACGAACATGTTAGCCTATAACTAAAATGTTCTGTGTGAACAGAGCTGAGCAATCACCTGCTATCTGCCTGGTGTCATGGCCGCTCTAATGACAACGTCAGTGCAGAGGGTCTGTTGTGGTCAGAGGTGCGAGCCTGAACCCCAGGCACGAAGCCGTAGCGAAGGTGTTGGCTTGATCTGCCTTTAGGTGTCCATCTACCATTGCCCCTCACCCCCCATCGTTTGCATCTTGGTGGGGAGAACATCTCTAAGATCAAAAGCCCCCACAAGTCAAAAGAGTATGTTAGAGTGGCATTTGAGGTACGGCGGTGGGCAGTGGTAAAGTCGTTCAGAGAAGGGGCCTTGGCTGCACCAGAATTTGGAATTACACAGCTGAAGAGCCCCTTGGGCAAAATCGTGGATCTGAACAGATTCCAGCAGGGCAAGATCTGGGAGCCCATGGTTGCAGAGGAGTGTTCTCCGCCTGCTTCTCAGGGCAGAGCCATCCTGGGATCCTAAAACCCAATGTGGAAAGGAAGCCGGCCAAGCTTCAGAATTCTCTCCCCCAGCACCGCCCCCACCCGCCACCCCCCCTAGCAGCATCCCCCCAGATGGGCAGGAAGAGAGCAGCTTAAGTTATCCCCCCAGCGCCCTGGAGTTCATCCACCTGGTTAGCCCATTTCGTCACCTCCTCTTTCTAAACGGTGAGGGAACTGAGCTGGGAGAGGGGAAGTGACTTGTCCAAGGTTGCTCCCTCACCTCGGCTCCTCAGTTTCCTCATCTAGAAAATGGGTGGTAGAGAAGGTTAAAATGAGGTGTGTTCGGCACCCAGCACAATGCTTAGCATAGACCACAGTAAGCGCCAATCCCTTCCTCACCCTGCCTCCATCTCCCCACACAGAGGTCAGTCTTTCAGGAAGTTTCTATGGAGCGCTGGCCCCGAGGCAGGAGAATAGAATCAAAGCAAAAAATAGTTCCAGGCTGCATCTGTGGCCAGTTGAAGACGTGACTTGTCAAAGGTCCCCCTAGCCTGCCCCTAGAGACAACCTCCTCCTTAGCAGCCTAGGCCCCTAAGGGGCAGGTGTGGCTCCCAGAACAATAGCGGGGTCTGGGCGAGCCCCAGGAGCCAAGACAAAGCAGAGTGAGACTCCACTGCCGGCCTCCTCTACCACCAGCCGCGGCCCCAAGCCTGGCCACAGACCAGGGTCACAGCCGCCTGGTCCAGGAAGGTGCCGGGCGTCCGACCCTCGCACAGGAAGTACAGTCCGTGGACCCAAAGGAGGGACGGTGCGCGTGCCTGAGGCTGTGCCTCTCCATCGCTACCTTCAGGGCAGCTCTTCCATCCAGAGCTTAGGAATAAGGCAGGGGTGCCAGTCAGAGCCAGGCCCAGTTTGGGGTCTCAGCTCCGCCCCCCACGAGCTGCATGGCTGGGCAAATCCGTTTCCCTCTCTGAGCTTCATTTTCCCCTTGTGTGACATGAGTTAGCAATGCCTTCTCCCCCTGCCCCCAATACACAGGGTGCTGCAGCCCTGGGCACCGGCCCATGGCCCCACCTGCCCACGCCTTCACCCCCAAGGAAGCTCAGGGCAGCAGGAGGCTCGCCCATCTCTCTCCTGCCTCGAGGGCCACCCTCTCCCCACTGTCACTGGAGAACGAGGAAGAGCTATCCTTGCAAGTTTCCAGGGCAATTGGGCCACAGGGCATTTGGGTCGAGGGCTCGGAGGAGCCGCTGAGGTTTGCCAGCAAGAGTGGAAAACTACCACGTCCCGTGGCAAGGCCTGCTGGGCCATCGCCAGAGGGCAACTGGCAGCGGTTGGCACCAGCCTCTCCCACCAGGATCCCGGGGGAGTCACGGAAAAGTTGAGAGAAGGGCTCTCAGGGGCAAAGTCTGCTAAACAAGGGTGGCTGTGAAGAGGAGCCGAGGGGAGGCCGTGAGCAGGGGAGGCTGTCCTGTTCTGGATTTGGGGGAAAATGCCTCAGTCTCCTCAGCTAGGAAGTGCAGGGCACAATGGCACCTACCTTTCAAGCTGGGAGGACTGCGGGCGTTAGCACGCATCCAGCTCTCAGCACAGTGCCTGGCACACAGTAAGAGCTACCTCAGTGCTTGTTAAACAAACTACATACAGGAAAACAAGGGAAGCCACCCCATCCCCCGTGGTGTCCCGTGTCCCTGACACAAAGCCCTCTGGCCGCGCCTGGATGCCCAGCCCAGTGGAGCGCGGCTGGCTTTGAAGTAGCCGCCCTCTGGGGAGGCCTGCTGTCAGCAGCTATTGTCCACCGGGTGTGGCCCACCCCAGCCCAGAGGTGGGAACTGGTCAGGGGCCTGTGCGCAGGAAGGGAGGAGCCGCGCTGGTTTTCTTCTTTCACCCCTTCGGGGTTTCCTGCCCTGCTCCCACCCTCCGTTCCGCCTGCTTGTCCTTGGGACGTAGGGCTCTCTGCCTCAGGAGAAGAAAGTATGGGTGGCTGGGGAAACTGAGGCAGGAGTATGCCCACCGCCCTATGGGATCATCGGGAGAGTACTCCCAGCTCAGGTTTTGAGGGCTGACGGCATGCCAAGCGTTAGGCACCGTAAGCACTCTCACCTCCCTCTGGACACCTGGGAGGTAAGGCCCAGCTGCCCAGCTGGGCACAGGGGGTCCCAACCCCAGTCTGGGTGATCCCAAGCTGACACCCTCGGCCACTCTCCCCCCCACCCCCGGAGGGAACCTCGGAGCTCACCTGGTCTGAGTGCGCCCCACTTCACAGGTGGGGCAGTGGAGCCAGGGAGGGACAGTAACTTGTCCCGCAGTGAGCCCGCCCCAAGCCCTCGACCTAACCCTAACCCTCCCCCGGGCCTTTGGGAGGGTGGCCTGAACTGCCAGGCTGGAGGCTTTCCACTGCTCTGCGTTGTCACCCCGAGGCAGGCTCTGGGGCGCATCCACTCTGCCACTTAAGTGCTGTGTGACAAGCAATGGCTGACTCTCTCTGGGCCTCGGTTTCCTCGCCTTCAGCGTGGGGCTAGTAATAAAACCTACCTCGAAGGGTTCGTGCAGGACCAACTGCATATAGAAGTTGCCACACTCGAAATAGTGCCAGGCATACAGTAAGCACTGCATAAATGCTGCCTGGCGGCACTGACCACGGACAGCTGAATCAGACAGTCCCTGAGCTTCCTTTTTGCCCTTTTCCAAAGCCCCTTTCCGGTTGTTTTTACACAAAAGAATGGCTGCTGCCTGAGAATTCAGCTTCATGGGGGGGTTCCTGTGCCAGCCGGGCGAGGCTGGGGGCTCTGTCACCCTCTGTCAGTGTCTGTTACCTTCCCGGACCCCAGCACTGCCTCTTGCCCCCAGCACCAGGGCACATTCGTCCTGTCCTCAGTCTTAGTTTCCTCACCTGTAAAACGGGTGCATTAGCTGTGTGGTGGTTCCTCCCTCGTCTCTAGGCCCCCAAGGCCCTCGGAGGGAGCTGGGGGCTCCGTGACCCAATCTTAGGGCTCTGAGTGCAGATCCTGAGCTCTGGAGATGACCCGAGTGCGTCTCTGAGCCCTGCTGAGCCTCAGTTTCCCCCTGTCAACAGGTAGCCGGTGTATCAATTTGGGGGGCATGGTGAGCATGATGTGGCCTTGTGCTTGGGGAGTCCTAGCTCAGCCAATGCCCTGCTGGAAATGTCAGGCTTTCACTGTCCATGCGGCCACACACCTTTGAGCTCCTTCCCGGCATAAACGCTGCCTGGAGTGTCCTCACCCTGAGGAAAAAGATGGGGAAATCTGCTAGAAGCGAGGCCACAGGATGTTTGGAGACCAGAGCTCTCGGACAGAAGGAGAGAAAGTAGGGCAGGCCCTTGGGGATGGGTCATCTCTGGTGCACACCTTGCATCGACTGGGCCTGTCTGGGATGTGCAGTGTGACTCAGGGAAGGCTGTGGGCCTCCCGTATCTCCAAGGAAGTGGAGGGCCTTCCCCATCCTCGCTGAGGGGCCTTAGAGGCCTCGTTTCCTTCCCAGGGGTTCCCTTGTGCTTCCTGCAAAATCACACCGTTAATAACAGGCCCCATTTCTCGAGGACCCAAGTGCCAGGCACTCTTGGTTATGCCAGAAGCGTCATCCTATGGAATCCTCGCCTCCCCTCTTGGTGATGATCTTCTGTTTCTCTTATCTCCATTTGACACATGAGGTAACAGGCCCAGAGAGGTTAAGCATGATGCCCAAGGTCACATGGCAAGTGAGGGGAGAGAGCTGGATTTGAACCCACACTTCTCTGATTCTTAACCATGAGTCATACTAATAGTTGTAAATGTTAGCTAATATGAACCAATTGCCACGTGCCAACCACTGGGCTAAGCCTTTTTCGTACACACTTGATCGTTTACTCTTACTTTGCATTTTCTATCTCTACCCTCTTAGAATGTGAGGGCAGGGATTTGTTCTCTGTCGTGTCCACCACTCTGTTTCCAAATATACTTATTTAGTCAACATTTATAGGCTTTTTTTAAAAATAGACTCTCAGTAAATCTATGAGGTAAGTCCCTAACACCCAGGTTACAGGTGAGGCATCTGTGGCCCAGAGAGGTTAAGCAATGTGCCTCACACAGCAAATGAAATGACAAGCGTGGCCACAGAATCCCTGCCTCGGAAAAGATGCTCTAATTTAACAGCGGCAGGAGGTGCCCCAGGCCCCCCCTGAACCCTTCCTTTCCCTGCAGGTTGTCTACTTCACGGCCACTTTCCCATTTGCTATGCTGCTGGTGCTGCTGGTTCGTGGGCTGACGCTGCCTGGGGCAGGCGCAGGCATCAAGTTCTACCTGTACCCTGATATCAGTCGCCTCAAGGACCCACAGGTACTGCAGGGCAGCCCGTCCTCCCTCCTTCCCGGGCCGTGGTGCTGGGTGCACAAATCTAGCCAAGCCATCACCCCCTAGTACTTTTCCACTGGGCGGGGGCAGGTAGTTCACAGCGCTCGTGGGCTTTTCCAGCTGTGTGTGTATCTTTGTCGAGGACTCCTGAGGCAGGCCAATTATAGAGTCTTCTTCAGGCGCTGCGCCAGGGAGGAGAGAGAAGGCTTTCTGAGCTAGTCTCTCCTTGGACCTGGCCTCCGCCTACATCAGCCAAGAGGGCTGCCTGGTGGGGGTGGGAGAGCTGCTGGCTTCCGTGGCCAAGGACGGAATTCAGAGTTGGTGACCTCTTAGAAACCTGAGGGATCAGTACTGAATGTTCACCTCTTGGCACTCAGCCACGTGACCACAGCGGGGTTGGAGAAAACCCTGGGAGATTTTATGGGCCTGTTGAAGGATCTTTTTGTCCCCAGGATCCTCAGCCTTCAGGTTGCTGCTCTGGGCCTCTTCCCCACTCTCTTCTCGCCCTGGGAGGTAGATGGGAGGGAGGTGGCCAGCATCAGAGGACAGCATGGAAGGCAGCTTTGAGGCCATAAGGAAAACTTCCTAATGAGAGTTCTGGAGAGCAGCTTTGCCTGCATTAACCATTAGGGGATTCTTCTCCGTTCCAACTCAGGGGCCCCAGACAATAACAATTACAGTAATGACAGCAGACTTGACTTACCAGGCTGCCACTGGTACTGTTCTTTGAACCTGCAAAATAGCTCTGTGGGGAGGGCCGTGGAGCCCATTTTACAGATATGCAAACTGAGGCTTCGGGAGTCACATTAACTTGCCCACAATGATTCCATGGTTGGGATCCAGATCCATCTATTTTACAAGCCCAATTTCTTCAACTTCTGGGGTTCCTTACAGCTCAGTGTTCTCTTGAAAGGCACCTTGGATTTCAGCACAGAGACTCCAATTGCAGTTGAGAATCTGCACATTTTCAGGTGCAGTCCTCAGTGACCAGGTGGCCAGGGACCCACACTGCCTCCTCCAGGAGGACAGGTCTAATGGCTCTTTCTCTCTGTCCTTGCCACCCACCCCCTTAACCCCCATAGGTATGGATTGATGCCGGGACCCAGATATTCTTCTCCTATGCCATCTGCCTGGGAGCCATGACCTCACTGGGGAGCTACAACAAGTACAAGTACAACTCGTACAGGCAAGTGTTGTGCCAGCGGGCCTGGTGGACCTTAGAAATGATGATGATGTTTAAAGAAAAAAGAGAAGTAGGGAGCGTGGCTTCCTTGTGTTGTGAATTAACTTGCTCCCTGACATATGTGTAACTTAGGGACTGTATGCTGCTGGGATGCCTGAACAGTGGTACCAGTTTTGTGTCTGGCTTCGCAATTTTTTCCATCCTGGGCTTCATGGCACAAGAGCAAGGGGTGGACATTGCTGATGTGGCTGAGTCAGGTATGGTGGTATCGGTGGCAGTGGTGGTGGGCACTGCCACCTAGTGTGTAAGATGAGTACTGCAGGCATGAAGCCAGACCCCAGGGGCTTTGGAGGGGGGGGACGAGCCTGGTTTCCAAAACGGACCCCCCCCCCCACCAAGATGTCCCCCAAGTACCAAAGAGTACAAAAGCTAAATTTTAAACACGTTCATTGCGATTTGGCCCAAGGGGTGGTAGAAACATGGGTTTGGTTACATTGGGAAATATTTAGCTACTTCCGTGTGCTCTTTCCCCCTCCCCTTCCTTCTCCAGCAAACTCCTGGTTTCCGAAACAGAAACCACTTTCCTAACTCAGGCCCAAGCCAGCCACCGATCGGCATTCCATCATTACCTTCTCAGCTTTGGTTTCTGTATTTTGCACTTTGCTCCCAGCGCGCTCCCTCTAAGCAAACCCATTCATTCATTCCGCTGATGTTTATTGATTTATTGAGTCTCTACTCTGTGTCAGGCACCACCGTAGGCTTGGGGTGGGGAGAGACACCGGGCGTGGCAGGCCGCCCTCTGGGACAGGACAGATCTGATTTGGGGGGGTGTTGTGGGGACACTGTTACCCTCTGGGCTCCCCAGGACACTCCCCTAGAAACACAGACTTCACAGCCTGGGGTCTTAAGCTGGGATCCTGGGGCTCCAGCAGGACAGTGTGGGAATCTGAGAATCATGAGGTCCTCAGTTGCTAGAATCCTAGAGTCTCAGAACCACTGTATCTCAGGTGCCTAAGTTCTAGGCCTGGCCATGATGCACTAAGTCCTGGACCTGCAGCTTTAAAACTGCAGTGGCTTAGGCTCCCAGGATCCTCAAGTCCACCTCTCTGGCTTCTCTGCCCTTGTCCAGTCCTGCCCAATCCACTGGAAAGGTGGCCATCCATGGCCCGCAGGTTTTGTTATTTTACACACCTCCCTCTGCTCCGCTCGATCTCCTCATTTCTCATGACCTCAGTGGGGCCTCTTGGAGGCTGGCGGGGGCCCTGGGCTGAGGCGCCTCAAGCCCTGAGGAGAGTGTAAGGTTCTGACACCAGGGACCACCACAGACCAGGGGCAGGCACAGCTGGAGTCCCTGCCAAGGTGTCACCCTTGCCTGTAGGACACGAGTTGGGGAGGGGTCAAGGGTACCTCACTCAGCGTTGTGCAGTCAGATGTCTGCTGCACAGATGAGACCAACAGCCTGAGAACCTTGGGTTCATCAGGGTTAGAGCTGGGGTCTCTAGGACAGGACCCCTCTGATATGAGAGTGTCCTTCCTCCCCGCCCCCCCCCCAACACACACATGTGACAACCTCTGCCCCTTCCTGTATAAGAATATCTCTGGGCTCCCCTGGCCTCTCTGAGCCCCTGGGCCCTGCTTTCCTCCTCACTTGCAAAGATGCTGCCCTGCCCCATCCTCACACCCACACGTGCAGGCCAGTGTATTTCTCCACTGACCCCGGCTCCAAATCAGACCTTCAGCCGTCATTTTCCTGCCCTGAGAAGCCCCCAAGGCAGGCCCGAGACAATGCAGCATCAATCCACACCACCTGTGAGCTGACAGAGTGGTGAAGGGAGGTAGCCACCTCCTTCGCAGGCAGCTTTTCTCCCCTGTCGAGGCTTACAAACCGATTCCGATGGGTTGGGAATGGCCAGGAGCACGGAGCGAACTTGGTGGTGGGAGAGACGTATCGATACCTAAGACAGCTCTGAGGGCAGCTGGGCACTCTGATGTGTGTGCATACCCTGTCGACCTACGTTGTGTCTTCCTCCCGTCCACTTCCAAGACATTGGCGCTTATTCCCCACGGTGATGTCTGAACACCAAGGCGATTATTTCTCTAATAAGCTTTTAACAAGCACCATATTGAGCCAAGTACATTTGAACGAGATCATTATTTAGCCGAACGGAGTGCAAATGAAACGTAGAGAGGCGCGTTCTCCGCCAACAGGGGCCTGCAGAGCGCGCGGCCGCCGTCTCACAGGGGAACATCTCTCTAGAGTTCACCGTGCGCTTTAGAGCGGCGCCCGGACCGCTCCCAGAGGCTGGCTTGAGAAAGGCAAAACTGAAATACAGAAACGAGTGCGTTGAGAACCTTCAGAGGCCCGGAGGGTGGGGGGACGAGGGGGGCGGTCCCATTTTACATCTGTCTCAAAGTGGGCTGGACTTGACTCCTCACGCAGAGCTGACGTGTTGGGGGGCCCAGGGCCCCAGCCTAGGTGGGAGCGTGGCTTCCTGGTCCAACTTGGGCTTTGGGGTTAGTACGAGCACCCTTTCCACCATTTCTTAGGTGCTAGTTTTCTAGGCGCCTGAGGACGCTCGGTCAGCATCGGGTTTTCCTCGAGTTGAGTGTAAAAGGGCTCGCCCTTGAACGCCACATTTGTGTTTAATGCTGTGGGATGTGGTTTCTGGCTCCAATTTGTTTCAAAGTTTTTTTTCCCATTCTTAAACCATTCATGTGGTTCTGATATCTGCTTAAATATCCCGCCTCCAGCCCTCTTTTGTTGTTTCACGTCTCTTTTCTTTACCTTTTTTTTTTTTTTTTTTTAGTTGTGGATTTTACTTTTTCTCCCGTCTCGTGGACCCACAGGTCTCAGTTACAACCCAGTTCCTCCCCATGCATCTTCTCTCAGGTCGGCTGGAGACGGAGACATTTCTCACGTCTTCAGAACGTGTCCAGTCATAAAGGCACCCCCTGAGCTGACGGGGCTCCTGTCCCAAGCCCTGCCACCAGATTCCGTCGGGGTCCCCTCTTTAGAAACCGGAAGCCCTCTGCTAGGGGAACAGTGTCAGCATCTGAGAATCTGAACACGGGACGGCTCCTTGGGAGCCATTTATGTAACCTGCCCTCGCTTCTCAGGGAGGGAACCTGAGGCCCTGAGGGGGCCTGAGTGACGTAAAGAGCAGATGGAGGAGCCAGTGGGATGAGGACTTGAATACAGGCCGGGGGTCTCCCAGGCCTGGCAGCCTGCCCCACGAACCCCTCCCTTCAGCGTTGGGCCTTGGCTCTGACGTTGCTCAGGTGGGTGCACAGAGACACCCCTGAGGAGACCTTGGCCCTGCAGGGCATGGTTCTCTGTTCTTTTTCCTTTCCACTCACGCAGTGTTTTAGTAGAAACCTTTTCTTTGCAGACGGGGATTTGGGAGTCAGGTAACCAGGACTTCTCCCCTTGCTTCCTTCCAGCACATGTTGGCATGGTTGCTCTGGTTGGGGGAGGGCGAACCTTTTCCAAGCTGGCAGAGCGAGTCCAGGCTCAGCCCCGTTTCCCACCCAAATAGCCAGTGTCCGCCCGGATGCTGGTGTGTGAGGAGGCCCCTGGTGCTGCCGCTTAGGAGACAGATGCTAAAACAGGGCCCTGCCTGCGCGCCCGCCCGTGGGTCCCACCCAAAGCGAGACAGGCCTGGTCTCTCTCCCGGGCCGGCCCTCAGGCCCGGCTCCTCCCTGCGTTTGGGTTTGGGAGACCCGCCTTAGGCCAACGTGTCTTTGTATGCGCTCTGGTGCTGCGGGTCTCGGTGCTGATGTGTCTCCCCCTCTGCCCCTCCCCATCTTCTCTTCCCTTTAGGTCCCGGCCTGGCCTTCATTGCCTACCCAAAAGCTGTGACTATGATGCCGCTGCCCACTTTTTGGTCCATTCTCTTTTTTATTATGCTTCTCTTGCTTGGACTGGATAGCCAGGTATGTACCGATGGAGGGGCTGGCCCCAGGGCGGGACTGCCCAGGGGGAACCTGGTTCTGGAAAAGCCTCCTTTGCCATGTGTGAGGCGGTTACACCCTTTCCACCCTCACATCAGACCTGCCACCCCTTCGGCTAGCAAGGGTTCCTCTGGGAACCCGGAGTGGGAAAGTCCTCAGGGCCGCAGAAGCAGGACATCTGCCCCAAAGCTCAAGTTTTTGACCTCAGCAAGGGGAAATGAGCAACCAAGGGTGTGGTTAAACAAAGCCATAGGTGGGAACTAAAAGGGCGAGGCCGGCACAGAAACGGTGTGCTCCGTGGAGTGGCTGGGCAGGGCGGGGCCCAGGGTAGATAAGGCACAAGGGCAATAAAGGAAAGGGGCAAGCGTCTTTGCTTAGAGCACAGGTGGTCCCTGCCCGGCCAGCATTGAGGGTCCTGAGTGGGGCTGGGGAAGCTCACTACACCCTTCTGTGCTTCCTGGAGCACAGGAGTCAGGGAGCTGGTCCCCACAGTGAGACCCTGGTCCTCCGGTGCCTCCTGAACAGCCAAGCGTGGGGAGCCTCCCTCAAACCACCCTGTCCTCTGGAGGTTCTGGCTCCTGCCCTCCTGAGGCAGAACTGCACCGAGGCTGCTTCCTGCACTTCCTAACCCCCACAGCCCCTCCCTCCTGGGCTCAGGCCTCCACCTAGTGCTCAGTGAGCACCAGCCAGGGGCTGCATCACAGTTCTAAGCCCCCCAAGCTGCTGTGTGATGGTGGGCACATTTCCTCCTCCTCTGAGCCTCACTTTCCTCCTCTGGTAAATGGCTGTGATTGTATCTCCATTGCCTTGTATGAAGCACCAGGTACAATGCCTGGTGCAGAGCAGTCAGTGGTGCTGGGAGGATGAATAACATGAGCTCTCGGTCACCTGTCCCTGGAGATATGTGTATGTTCACAGGGGTCTTCTCAAGAGTACAGGTGTGACTCCGGAAGTGGGAAGCTGTGGTGTGCGGGGCAGGCTGGTCCTGTGCCCAGGCTAGTTAGAATCTTGCATGTGGTGTCTGCCACCCAGGGGCCAGCACCTGAGGGCAGTCACGGACAGCAGGCATTTTGCAGCCTCCTGTGTGATCTGGGGGTCTGGCTGCCTCATGAAGGTTGTTGGTCATCTGAGACCCAGTGAGAGGTGGGGTGTGGCCAGTTCAGGAGAGGGCATTGCCGCCCACCCCGAGGGCAGCAGCACAAAGCCAGTGCCCAGGGCGGGTCCCCGGAAACACAGAGGAAAGTCTTAGAAGGTCCCGCAGAGCAGAGGAGGCGGTCCACCAGCAAGGTCAAGAACAGAGCCAAGGATTTGGCAGACAAGGGAGCAGGATTAGCAGAAAAGACAGAATGAAAACATTTGGGGGATTGAAAACAAAATGCTCCCACAGTTGTTGATGGGCTTGAGCTGTGTAAACAGCAGGAGGGCTCCATTAATCATCCCTAGTTAATGAGTTTGGCCTTCGGAGGCCCCAAGCAAATGGCTTTTATAACTTTTTCCAGACCTCTGAGTGAAAGCAAAAAACAAAAATAGAGAGAGGTTAATAAATGATGAGGCCTGACATCGCCATGGGCCCAAAATAGGCCTCTTGGGCTACGGAAACTGCTTCCTGAGCAAGCGGAGGTGGTTTTATTCGTTAGATTTTCTCTGAGCTCGCCCCACCGTGGCCGAGGCACTAAGGGACCCTCAGTGAGCTCTCGAAGCCAGCCTCAGAGGGAGGCTTCCAGCGTGGAGCTGAGAGCCCTTACATGACCTGCCTGCTGTACCAGCAAGGAACGTGGTGGGCTTATGCCTGGGGAGCTGGGTGGGGCCTGGTGTCTCCAGTCCAGTGGCGAAGGTTGGCACCCCTCCTGTGCACCATGCACTCTGTGAACTCGGGGACATGACCACCTCACACCCCCCCAGCACTGATAGGGTCAGAGCACTGCCCTTTGAGGTGCTCACACGGGCCAGGCTTCATGCCAGGCTTTCTGTGTGCATGTGTGTGTGGTAAAATACACAGAACATAAAATTGCTCATCTTCACCATTTTGAAGTGTGCAGTTCAGTGGCATTAAGTACATTCACATTGTGCAACCATCATCCATCTCCAGAATTTTTTTTGTCTCCCCGACTGAACTTCTGTTCTCATTAAACACTCACTCCCCACCCTCCCTTTCCCCAGTCTGGCTCACCCCCCACCCCCCCACATTAGCTCCTTAATCTGCACAATGTCCAAATCCAGGAAAACTGAGGCGTAGAGAGATGAGGGCTCCCCCGGAGGCCATGCTCAGCTGGTTAATGGGTGGAGCCATGACTTGACCCTGGGCTGCCTGTTCCCAGACCTGCTAGTTTGTCCCTCTTGCCTTCTCTTTGAGTTCTCCCCAAGTAGCTGCCACCCCTGGAAGCGCAGAGACCCACAGGCCACCTTGGTGGGGCCTCTCGCTGATGGAGGAGCTTGACGCTTGCTCATTACAGGAAACGCTCTCTCAGAACTTCTAGCATTTGGGGGCCACTCTCTGGCTTAGGAGCCATCGTACTGCTGAGCGTGTCTTGGTGAGAGGAGTAGGGACGTCGCCCACATGGAGGCAGGAGCCTGTGGATGTCGGGCCTGCCCGAGGGGACACAGTTTGTGAACAAACATCACAAGACGAGGGCCGGACCCCCTGTCCCAGGAGTCCCCCCTCTCAGGCCCTGATATGTGTTAAAACCAGTTCATCACCCCATTGCCGGTTCACTCTCATGAGTTCACATCTGTCTCAGCATCCCTGCTGAGCAGGCAAGGCCCTCCCATTTCACAGAGGGAGAAACTGAGGCTTGGAGAAGTCAGGGTCACGTAGCGATTAAGTGTGTGAAGGGGCTGGTGGGGAGGGAGTGAGGAGAAGAGGGGCTTGTGCAAGTCTTGGCCCCGACTCCCATGATCCTCCCGTCTGTAATTTCCCATCTCAAAAAAAAAGAGCGAACCTTTGTTTTTAAATTCCTACCGAGGCTAACATTTGAGCTGCAGGTTTGCTATTATTCGGTAGTAATTTAGGTTCAAAGCCCCTTCAGCAGACACATCAGTGAGAGGTCGAAAAATCAGCGCCTTGTATTTGGGCTCCTTTCAAGAGCCTCTTGGTCCTCTTTTCCCTGAATCCCTGGCAACAAAGAGGCATTTATTTCTCCTGCCCCTTCAGCACATGAAAGGGACCTGTTCCTCTTTGTATTCCCTGCTCCTCCGCCGCGCGTCCCAGAGGAGTACGTGGTTGGAGTCGTCGTGTAGGAACATTCCTTCCCAGCAGCCTCTCCCAGATGAAAGGACAGAACTTAAAGGACTCAGATGGGCCTCAGGGGGTGTGTCGGTGGGCAGGGCAGTTTGTCTGTGGCCATCAAATGTAAAGCGAGGCTAGGAGCCCTTTCATCCTGAAGTTTTACTTGTGCACATGAGCCTCAAGAGAGATGGAGGGAAGAGTCCTTGCCCAGGTCAGTAGCTGCAGAGGCTGGAAGCCACCTGTTGGCACTGGTTAGGTCTCTGACGACATGTGTCCACGGGATGGAGTTTTAAGCTGCCATTTAAAACACAAGGCAGCTCTCCATGTAATGCTATGGGTCTCCAAGCTAAATTATTAGGTGCAAAGATGGGAAGATTTAGAAAGATTGAGACTCATTCTAGAACATTACCACACGTTTGGGATCCCAGGGATGGGGTCCCAGAGTCCAACGAGCCCTGGCGTCGTGACTGCGTTGAGCTCACACACGTGGGCAAGTAGGTGGGCACGCACACATGCAAAATTCTCTGTGGGCTTACGATCCCCAAAGAGTTAAAAACCACCATGTGAATCTGATGGGGAAACTGAGGCCCAGACTGGCCCTGCGTTACCCACCCATTTGAGCAACCCCAGGTGCCTGGCCCAGCTGGGCACTCGAGGCCTGGAAATGAGGGGGCACGGCCCTTGGCTTCAGAGAGGACCAAGACCAAAGTGTGTGGAGGTTGTCTTGTTGACACACTTATGCCTACACACGCGCCAGGGCAGCGGTCAGCACTGGCCTCCAAGGAGCGGTCATTCTTGAGCTGAGTCTTGACTGATGAGGGAAAGGCGTGCTGGTGGCAGAGCGAGCCTCGGCAGAGATGCGAGCTGTGGAACACGGGGAGGACTGTGCATGGGCCACCGCAGCCTGACCACAGGCCGAGCCCCAAGGCCGGTTCACACGCTTGGACTTGACCCCACCGGCTGACTGCGGAGCCGCGCTCCTCTCTCTAAGCACAGGGAGGTGCTGGACATCGGCCGCTCAACCTCTCTCTTTTCCCCTCCAGTTTGTTGAAGTTGAAGGACAGATCACATCCTTGGTTGATCTTTACCCATCCTTCCTAAGGAAGGGTTTCCGTCGGGAAATCTTCATCGCCTTGATATGTAGCATCAGCTACCTGCTGGGGCTGACGATGGTGACGGAGGTAGGTGGCTCTCTCACTTGGCACGGAGGGCCTCCCCTCATAGGGATCTTGGTCCCCCAAGAGCTCAGCAGTTTGAGGCCATACCACCTCCCTGGTCCCCCAACAGCTGGATGAGTGACAGGATGGGCAATCTAGCCCCACCCAACCCAGGGGTCCTGCCCTGCCCAGGGGCCTACACTGTGGAGGAGAGTCCAGCAGTGGACCCAAATCTCCCCCCTTTCTCCTGTTTAGCTTGGCAGCCCTGCAGCTCTCCGTCTTCCTCATCCTGGAAGGCCTGGGGGAGGGGGGCCTCAGCTAAAATCCATGTTAACAACAGCTCTGCTCACCCTGACTGTGCAGCGCCCTTCTCAGGCCTGGGGGGAGATGGCTCTCCAGGGTAAATACTGTAGGCAGTGCTGACCGAGGCCGGAGGGTGCGCTGTTCGGAGAGTGGGCGAGGTCCAGAGAGGATCTGTTTAAAGTGGGACAAAGAAGCAAGAGAGAAAAGGAGAGGAGTGTCTGAGGCAGCCGTGGATAAGCACATCTAGCAAGAGGTGGGCCAGGGAAGAAAAGATTCTTGTGCTAAATAACGTAGGCGTGTGAGCTGAGCATAGGCCAGGGCATGCTCTCTCCAGTCCCTCTCCCCACCCACCTCCCCATATCCTCTTGCAAACGGTTGCATTGACCCCCAAACTCAATTCGGGGTTTCCCATCACCACTTTCCTCACTGGAAGCAAAAGTACATGTATTTTTCTAGAAGTATCTGTAAGAAACCTTCCCCCGAAAAGGTAGATCACAAGTCCAGACACTGAGCAGCTGGACGTTCCTCAAGTCTCCTGTTGGCCATGGCTGGTTTTAAGTACCTCTTTGGGAGCAGGCTCAGGGAACGCGTCATTTTTTGCCAAGGAAGACGTTGCTTTGCTGTACTTTTTCCGTGTGTGTGTGTGTGTGTGTGTGTGTGTGTGTGTGTGTGAGATTCAATTTGTCAAACATGAAGTGGAGTATCTTTATACACAGGTACTCTGTTATCAGAGTCTTTGCCAATTTTTCTTTTGGGTATTATATTTTCTTTTACATTTTCTTATCGATATACCAGAGCGAATTAGAAACCAAATCAAACTTCTGTTTTTTTCTTCACAGGGTGGCATGTATGTGTTTCAACTCTTTGACTACTATGCAGCTAGCGGTGTATGCCTCTTGTGGGTTGCATTCTTTGAATGTTTCGTTGTTGCCTGGATATATGGTGAGTACCGGTTTTTGCATATCCTCTCTCACGTCTCTCCTTTGGGCCTCACTATTTAGAAGCTTCGGAAACAGAATTCTAAGGGGAATGCATTCTGAGTTGAACATGAAGGCCTTTCCTGCCCTGGACTTTTCATCTGAAGGTGGCCCCTTCCCTATACACATAAATATTGTTGTAGCCACACTACAGATTCTCCCTGTGCTAAAGGTGCAAGGGGTGACTGTATGTTTTGACAAACACATGACTTGGCTGTGCAGGGGGTCTATCTGTGATAACTCTGGGGCCCGGAATGGTCCACTAGACCTCCTTGAGACCTTGGATTGGTCAAAGCAGGTTTTGAGTGGGATATGCCTGAGGTGGCCAAAAAATACAGGATGCCCAGTTACTTTTGAAGTAATTTCAGATAAACATCTGCTGTCCATGGGTCTATGTGCTGGGACCAGGATCAGGCCCCAGAGACCCCGCATGGCACTGAGCCCTTGCTCTGCTGCTCCCTGGGTGGATGCTGGCACGGCATCGGGCACCGTGTCACCACCTGTCTACCTGTCTCTTGCAGGCGGTGATAACTTGTATGACGGCATTGAGGACATGATCGGCTACCGGCCTGGGCCATGGATGAAGTACAGCTGGGCCGTGGTCACTCCAGTTCTCTGTGTTGTGAGTTTCCTCTTGCCTGGCTGTGGGGAGTAGCCTTTTCTCACCTGCTAAACTGTTTTGCATTCACATCTGCTGAGCCCTGTCCTGGAACAAGCCTAGCGACAGCCCCACCCGGAAGGAGGTGGGGCAGGCTGCTCGGAAGGTTATCTTGAGATGAGTTTTGAAGGATGAGTAGGAGCTTGTCAGGAAGAGAAGACGGGAAGGGCATTCCTGGCAAAGGAACCAGCCCATGCAAAGGCAAAGGGTTCTCAGAGAGGAACACATATCGGGGCGCATCGAGGAACTCAGGGATCCGTGAGAGAGCACGTCATCTTTCCCCAAACCCTGCCAGAGCTCGCGAGCCCACTTCCAGCCCCTGGTTACGTTAAGCAGCCATTGGATGTCCCAGGGAGAGGTCACAGACATGGGAATGGGGTGCTCCTGTGGCAGGTACGGGTCTCAGGCTGGTACAAAGCTTCCTGGCGTTGGGAGAGCCCAGACAGCCACCTCCTGGTACTCCCCTGTCTGTCCCAGCCCCACACAGGACAGGAACAACAGCAGGTGCCCGATGGAAGCATCTGCTGCCTAATGCTTCCTCCCCCCGCCCCCCCATCATCAATTCTAATGTAGATGGATTTGCTTTCCCATCAAACACACCATTAGATCGCGAGGATAAGTCGTTTTCACATTGCGGGTCATCCAGGACAACCTGGGGTAGACTCAGGGGCGTGCCATTCTGACCAGAGCAGGAGCCGTGGGCCCACCCAGC